GTTGGATTAGAGCGGCATGAGTCACAAGCGTCATAATAAACGAGCTATTTTACAAAAAGCTTAGATGGTAGCCCGAGAATAAAAATTGTGACAATATTTAAAGCCAGTGGAGACACAGATTGGGTTGTGTTCGATTTGTGCTGAAGCCGAGTTTAGTACAATTATACTGGTAAGAGAAGAAATACTGTCAGTAAGAGAGATACTTTAAATGACTGATCACTAGAAGTGGGACAAATAATCTATCTATAACCTGATACAGTCTCTAGTGCTTCCCTGAGGTATTTCCTTCTTTTCTTGCAGACATTTCCTCAAATACTCCTCAGCTATCCAAAAATAAAACTTATAATATATAATAATGCCAGAAAATGATGAATTAAGGTTTATACCTTATTTCAAACAACCCCAGAGCTTTAAAAAGTCATGTGGAGTGTCAGCTCAATGTGACTTATGCCATCCTGGGACAATCATTGAGGTTTTGAGGAAAACCAACACAGTTTATGCAGGTGACTCACTGTAGCAAACCATTCCCTGTAAAACCCTCCTGCAAGGATGTGTTTGTCTGCCCAGCAAGCAAACAGCATATGAAGTCAGCCAATACTGCAACTGAACTTAATACCTCATGGATACAGAGCAACAATGAGGGTTTTAACCCTGCACAAAATCCACAGTTGAATATGCATCATGTTTTGGGGGTTCAGGGTTTAGTGTGTCGGCTGTAAAAGTTGGAAAAATAAAATTTCCTTCTTAATTTATTTGGACCAACATTACGCCGGCTTTCAGCCCACAAACACTGCACTCAAGCTGTAACAACAAAAGGAAAGACTGTAAAATCTCCTACTGACACCAGCAGCAGAGGCCGTGCGGTTCAGATGAATAATCCAGCAGCCTAGGTATGAATGCTCCCTTACTGGAAACCGCTGTACTGCAAAAAGAAGTATTTTTCTTTCCAGTCTGACTGCACAAGATCAGCCTGCATAACTTACCAACACTGCATCAACTACAGCGTGTCAAAAAAAAAAGCCACATCAGCTTGAAATCCAGACTTGTCTGCAATTGCTTGAGATAACTTCAAAAGTCTCTTTTATGATTAAGTACTGCCCAGAATCATTAGCGAGCCGTCCATCTGAATGGAGAAGACCTCAGTGTGGTTACAATCTGTCTGGTCTCCATTAACTGGCATCAGCAGCACTTTCTTACTTGTCTAAATTTCATTTGGACCAGACCTCTCCTAAATAATTTGGAAGATAGTGGAAGATGTTTCGAAGGCAGTAGCCTGTGATGGCTTTAAGTTCACTTAAGCCTGTGGATTGATTGGTATGTTATCTCCAGGAAGATGTATAGGAGCAGCTAATTAGATTTGATCACTTACAATTGCTCCTTAGCCACCAAGTAATCAATGCAGTCTAATTATTTTCCGTTCCTGCGCCACTTTCTCCTTACCTTCTTTAACATCGTCTCACGTTGCCGTTTTTTTCTCTTCTTCCTCCGTTTTCATCTTTAATTCCGGCCTTTGCTGCATCCCACAGTGTTTTCATTTCTCTAACCTCAATATCTCTTCCTCTTTGGCTGCTCCTGCAGCTACTTTGACAGGTTTCCAAGAGGGGTAAATTATAGTTCCCCTGGTGGTAACATCACACATATGCAGACATGCATAAACACACACAACAGAGACAAACTTTTTTAAAATAAAGAAAAACAACCTGCTGTCCTGATGTTTTTTGGCTTCCTGACAAGGTTATTGTGGATTTGGAACAGCTCACACCTACTGACAAGACGAAATGCATGCATACACTCGTACAGCGAGTACTGTGTGTTTTTGGAAGACAGTAGAGGACAAATGCATGTATCACACCTAGCCGGGCAGGTAGAGGGAGGGTGTGTACTCTGGTTCCGGTGAATAAAAGAGAGCTTTCCAATGATGTGTGAAAGAGAAGCTGCAATTTGTCTTTGTTCGCCGCCCCCTATCCAAGATATCAAACACACATGTACGCACGCACACTCTCAACACAGCACACTCTCACTCAACTACACACAAACACATAAATGAACAGTGCCCCAAAATGCACCAACAGGAGCTGAGAGTAGAATAGCTCTCCAATACGCCCGTCCCATTTGTCTCAATCGGCCCGCTGTCTGCTTGGTCAGTCTTAGGGCCTCAAAGGGAATACAGAATAGAGTGCAGCTTTTTACACTTACTCAGCCTCACTGTACTCAGTATCTCACTGACCTTTTGTGGCCTTGCTGTGTGGACTAGATACGAGACATTCTTCAATACAGCTCAAGAACATTCTCATTCACACGAGCAACCCGAAACAAGCCTCTGCTGAAATCTACACAAAGTATGTTGACCCAGAACATCTGGATTCATCTGGTATTCAATGGGTTCAGAGACTCATATTTAAGGTCAATAAGCGAGTCACATTTTGAAAAACCCTGAGGGCCAAATGCACAGATGCTGCAGTTTGGGTCAGTTCATTTTGCTTTAGTTCGGTTCAGTGAAGTTCAGCTCAATTCGGAAAAAGGTCCACAAGGGGAAAATTAGAAGGCAACAAGTCAGCAACATGAGAAATTCTCCATTGTTGCGTCGCTAAATGAATTTATGTACTGTACAATACGGTGTCTAATAATAATGATAATAAAACTGCTGGACATCTAGCTGGTATTTATCATCCCTGCCCCCCCATCCTCCCAAATTATCCTGTATTCATTGTGGGCTGTGACTGTCTGAGCACAAAGCAGTTCATACTGGCCATTATCGATCCATTAATTGGAAAGTGGCCCATTGTAGTGAAAGGGCTGGGCAGTACAGACAGACAGGAAGAGATGGAGGCTTAAGATCAGCCTGGACTCTAATTGGCAGGAAAGAGGTTTCTATGAAGTGGCATAATGTGCTTTTTATTGGCTTGTAGGAGGGGGGGTGTTGTCGAGATGTAGAACACATGCTCATTTAAGTGTGACATGCCCCCCCC